TGAATGATTTGGATAAAATTTCACGTTTACATAATAACAAACTGAACAAATTAATTAGTCTCCCATTTTTCATAATCTTATAAACGTTTGTGACACGCCTCAAAATTATCTAATTAAGCTGAAACCTTACATTCGAGTTCATCATTATAAAAGGAAGCAATTGGCCATATCACAGCGCACAGCAGTGCGCGCGAGTGACGAAAGCAGCCACAGTAGAATGCTGAAATGATTCGCTTATATACATATACACGAGATTTGGAAGTTTTTATCCAGACGTCCAATCGACATGTTTGAGATATCGTTGGAAAGGTCTTGCAGAGTGCATCTAGAAAATGTATTCAAGCTTCATAAATGATTAACCGGATTCTTAAAAATTAGGCTAAAGTGTTGCAAAACAAAAAACGTTTTTTTGCTTTTGTCGGTTTAAGGGGGCATGTGGGTAAACCCAACATATTTAGTGTTATTCTATAGGCCAATACCTTTCAAACGATACCTTATATATTAAGTTCCGGCTACAAGCTGGAAAGATATAGAGGTAAATGTGTTTTGGTTCGTGTCTCCACTACGAGATGCTTTGGTATGTATGTGGTGTCTGTACGTACCATCATTTAATTTTTTTCAAACTTTCAGACATAATGTACAAAAAAACTAAGAAGCTTTTGTTCCAGGATGTTTTGATTCGTACGCCTTTGTGGGCGTGGCTGCTGCCTGAAATTCGAAAAAATGCAATTTTTTAAACTACCACTGAGGCGGCACTACTCAGTCCATGTCATTGACGTGGATATCAGTAGAAGAGTCTTCAAACAAGCTATCTAACGCTATCTTTTGTGTTTATGAAATATAAATATGTCATAACGATATCGCCTGAAAACTAAAAATCGGGCAGCTAAAAATATAGATTTCGAGAATTTTCTCAAAAACTGGTCAGTCGATTTTATTCTTAGTTTCCACAAATCTAGCCCGAAATCTTAGCTTTTATTTGGTATCACAGCGCACGGTAGTGCGCGCGAGTGACGAAAGCAGCCACAGTAGCATGCTGAAATGACTCGCTTATATATACACGAGATTTGGAAGTTTTTATCCAGACGTCCAATCGACATGTTTGAGATATCGTTGGAAAGGTCTTGCAGAGTGCATCTAGAAAATGTATTCAAGCTTCATAAATGATTAACCGGATTCTTAAAAATTAGGCTAAAGTGTTGCAAAACAAAAAACGTTTTTTTGCTTTTGTCGGTTTAAGGGGGCATGTGGGTAAACCCAACATATTTAGTGTTATTCTATAGGCCAATACCTTTCAAACGATACCTTATATATTAAGTTCCGGCTACAAGCTGGAAAGATATAGAGGTAAATGTGTTTTGGTTCGTGTCTCCACTACGAGATGCTTTGGTATGTATGTGGTGTCTGTACGTACCATCATTTAATTTTTTTCAAACTTTCAGACATAATGTACAAAAAAACTAAGAAGCTTTTGTTCCAGGATGTTTTGATTCGTACGCCTTTGTGGGCGTGGCTGCTGCCTGAAATTCGAAAAAATGCAATTTTTTAAACTACCACTGAGGCGGCACTACTCAGTCCATGTCATTGACGTGGATATCAGTAGAAGAGTCTTCAAACAAGCTATCTAACGCTATCTTTTGTGTTTATGAAATATAAATATGTCATAACGATATCGCCTGAAAACTAAAAATCGGGCAGCTAAAAATATAGATTTCGAGAATTTTCTCAAAAACTGGTCAGTCGATTTTATTCTTAGTTTCCACAAATCTAGCCCGAAATCTTAGCTTTTATTTGGTATCACAGCGCACGGTAGTGCGCGCGAGTGACGAAAGCAGCCACAGTAGCATGCTGAAATGACTCGCTTATATATACACGAGATTTGGAAGTTTTTATCCAGACGTCCAATCGACATGTTTGAGATATCGTTGGAAAGGTCTTGCAGAGTGTTTCCAGAAAATTTATTCAAGCTTCATAAACGATTAACCGGATTCTTAAAAATTAGACTAAAGTGTTGCGAAACAAAAAAAGTTTTTGTGCTTTTGCCGGTTTAAGGGGGCATGTGGGTACACCCAACATATTAGTGTTGTTCTATAGNGACATGTTTGAGATATCGTTGGAAAGGTCTTGCAGAGTGTTTCCAGAAAATTTATTCAAGCTTCATAAACGATTAACCGGATTCTTAAAAATTAGACTAAAGTGTTGCGAAACAAAAAAAGTTTTTGTGCTTTTGCCGGTTTAAGGGGGCATGTGGGTACACCCAACATATTAGTGTTGTTCTATAGGCCTTTCAAACGATACCTTATATATTGAGTTCCGGCTACTAGTTGGAAAGATATAGAGCTAAATGTGTTTTGGTTCGTGTCTCCACAACGAGATGCTTTGGAATGTATGTGGCGTCTGTACGTACCTTAATTTAATTTTTTTCAAACTTTCTGGAATTAAAGTGCAATAAAAACTAAGAAGGTTCTCTTCCAGGATGTTTTGATTCGTATGCCTGTGTGGGCGTGGCTGCTGCCTGAAATTCGAAAAAAGGCAATTTTATAAACTACCACTGATGCCGCACTACTCAATCGATGTCATTGATGTGGACATCGGTAGAAGGGTCTTCAAACGATCTGTCTAACGCTATCTTTTGTGCTTATAAAATATAAATATGTCATAACGTTATCGCCTGAAAACTAAAAATCAGGCTGCTGAAAATATACATTTCGGGCATTTTCTCAAAAACTTTTCAGTCGATTTTATTCTAGGTTTCCACAAGTCTAACCCACAACCTTAGCTTTCATCTGGTATATAGCTTATATCTGGGAAATCTCTTGTTGCGGAGATATTGCTATTCAAATTGATCCAAAAAGGGTCAAATGGTTAAAAATTAAGTTGAAGGATGCAGCTGTGCTAATCACTTTGTACATGTCTTGGAAACCACAATTTATGTATATTTTAGAGTTTTTTTCAGTCACATGCCGAAATTGTAACATTTTTCCCCATTTTAATTGCAGGTATGTACACAGTATTTAACTATGCTACATGTGTTTATCACCCGCACTTAACCTACCTGGGAAGACGCGTACAATATTAGCTACAGTTGTACATAAATATGTATGTATGAATGCATTTAGTTCACCCAATGTGCCGCTACTATTTACATACGTAAGTATAAATTGCCACACGGTCAAAAATTTGGGTTAAATTTTTAAACCGCGCTGGGACTACTGCCTTTTTTAATTTTTTTAATATACTTTTTAAACCAGTCAATAGTTTTAAGCAATTTTTAATATGTTCTGGTTTAAATTTTAGTCGAAAAAGTTCGTGGTTTAAAACTCAAACCAAAATGTTTTAATTCTAGTTTCTAGGTTTCATATATAGAAGTGTGCAAAGATGCTTGATACAATTGGTTGCTACCAAGGCTGTCCGGGTTCAATCCCCATAAGACGGAGCATGAAATTTAAGATCTTTTTTTATTCTTAATTATGAAAATGTTTGGGTTTAAAATTTAAACCGAACTGTTTAAATTCTAAACCCAACATAGGTGCTCTCTTTTTGTAATCTTGGAAGGTTTGTATTTGAAACTGAATTTAGTTTGGTCATACATGTATGTAGTCCAAAAACCGGAACTTTTAACCGTGCACTGAGCAAAACTACTTGAGAAAAAAGCATTAGTTTAATAGCGCGAGTGCAACATCGTACACGTGATAGAAGTAAAACTTATTGTGTGCGCCACACACCCGGTAGAAATCTTAACAAAAATAAACTACGAGACAATCAGACGAATACAGTTGTTTATTGTATCCAAAGTTGGTACCAAGTTGATAAGTTTTTATCATTTCTCATAATTTTCTTCTAATTTTAATTTTTTTCGAATACAGAGGATATGATCATTCTTTTTTGCTTTATTCCGTATACGAAAAATTATATGTTTCAATGGACACATCGCTTTGAATACATAATTTAGATTTAGATAATATTTTTAGCAATTTAGTTGAGAAAAAAAAACATTTAGATTATTTTTTTGTATTTTGGTCGATTTTAAATTTGCTACCCAAAATAGTTGATATCAAATAAAACACCTCTTTGAGGTAAAATTTTCGAGTGACGAAAGTTGCACTAGAAACACAAAATTTATGATATCAATTTCGTGACGAAAATTATACGCATTTTTTAACTGCCTTTGAAACGTACGGAAAATCTTTTTTTTAGTTATTCGGAACGTTGCAAAATTGCGTCTACTGCTAGAAACACAAAATAAAAAATAGAACTTTTGCTACGATCCGTATGAATAAAAAAGCTTTTCCCTGCGTTTCAAAGGCAGTTAAAAAATGCGTATAATTTTCTTCACGAAATTGATATCATAAATCTTGTGTTTCTAGTTCAGCTTTCGTCACTCGAAAATTTTACCTCAAAGAGGTGATTTATTTGATAAGGGACACCCCAACCTACGGTCATTTGATTTGGTTTTCCACTTTTTTGGTATATGTATATGTCTTCAATAAACTTGCCTTTAAGAAATATAATACGCTCATTTATAATTTTTAAGTTAAGGGAATTAGTTCTGAGTAAATTGTCGTCCACAACTTTATTTTAGGCGGTCATTCAGTTGATGATCCGAAACCGCAAAACCGAATATGAATGGAACAGTAACCGCATTCTCCTTATATGCCTTCGAAATGAAATATCCGTAATGCGGTAAGCTTTGCTATATCTATGTTACTGCGAAGGCGATAAAATAAGCTGCATAAAAAAATTTAAAATTTTGCTAAAATTTTTTTTTCAGAATATACTTATATACCTTCATACACACATATTTTTTGAGTGTATAGAGCTGGGCTATAAATTTATTTTTTAAATAAAAGGAGGTACTTTCTTATTTCAAGATCGTGGAATGATATCACAATAATATTGATGAATTTATTATTTAAGTACCATAGAAACATGTGGACTTTGAATTCTACAATCGAATTTTCGTTTTTCTATAATTTACGAGGTGTTTTTTTTCTTATGGTACGTTTACTACATATATTACAGTTTTGTTGACTTCGCGAGCGACTACATTCATAATTCTGTTTGCCGCTAATGCCGCAATTTGGCGTCTTGTTGTGTAGCCTCTTGTTGCTTCTGTTGCTGTGATTGCTTGACGGCGGGAAGTGGGCGCTGGATCTGTGTCAGTTGCATGCTGCCTATGCGTCGTGCCGCTGCCGCCGCTACGTAAGTGCCGTAATAACGACCAAATGCCTGAGCTGTTTCGTCGTCTAATTCTTCGAGCGCTTCATGATGCTGGTGTAAATGTTGCATTAGACGCCTCATATGTTGCTTGTGATGAATGACAGTGTTCGATGCCATTACTGCGTTCTGCTCATTGGGGTACACTTCCACTTGGTTTAAGTTACTATTGGCGAAACCTGTGCCATTGCAACCGGTTGAAGTTGCAACAGCGAAGGCTTTATGTCCAGCTGCTGTGGTCGGTGTGAGCGTGGTGGTAGATACTGCAGAGATATGATCTTTTTGTCTCATGGCGTTGGCCGACGAAACAGGAGGCTGGTGCGCATTCTTGCACTCGGTGGTCGGATGTGGGCGTAGCATATGCCACTCGATGACGGCTCCTGGTAGCGGCGATTCCTGCTGCGTAAGCTTGTGCCTCTTATGCAAGCTGGCGTCGATTATACATTCACTTTCCCCGTCAACATATATATTTGCTCCACCAGAACTGCTATCGTCTTTGCCGTCGGCAATAAACGTCTGCTCCTCGTCTTCCACCGCATCGTAGGGATCCTCATCGTCGTTTTCTGACCGCACAGAGATTGCCTGCTTGCTATGCTCTTCAATATCATTTGCCACCACATCGATTTCATCTTGTTCTTGTTCATCAAAGGCCAATAATTTTTGAGGCTGGGAATCGGCTGGCGTAGGGAATGCTTGCCGATTCGAGAGTGAGTGAGAAGGGTGTTGGAATTGTACGCTTACTGGCTCATCGTGTTGCTGCCGCCGGTTATACTCTTTTGCGTTTTCGTGGTTGAATTTTTTCACAAACGCATGTTGAAGCGTTTCGGCTTCTTCAACGGAAGCGACTGTCTGTTGATCTGTATCCAATATTTCATGCGCAAAATCCTTGCGGTCAGGTGCCAAAAGAGATGCCACATCGAACTGCCGCTTACGCGTTTGCGAGTACAAGCTTGCTATTGCAGTGGTTGTGGAGCTCGACGCTATTGCTGTAGCTGCTGAGGCGTGCTTTTGTCCTCGCAAATCGTGGTCATGCGCTTGGCTGAAAGATTGACAATCGTTGCTATCCCTAAAGTGTTCTTGTTGATGCTGCTGATGTTGGTGTTGCTGCTGCATTCTGGTTGAGAGCCGATTGTTGTAAGCGGCTGACGGTATGCACGTATACTGCTCCGTAATCGCAGCGCCGAAGTAGCGGTCTTGAATTTGTTGTTGTGATTGTAACGAAACCAACGATGTAGGCACCTGTAGTATCGGATAATTCTTCTGTTGCAAACATCCGAAGGCATGCGCACCTGGCGCCATCAAAAACTCATGCCCACCTGTTGTTAGATTATTACCTGCCGGTGCTAAACGCAATACATGCGCCGAAGTGAGTGGTGGTGAGGTGAGGTCAAGTGGTGGTGGACTAGGCGAGTCCGTGCCCGCATCATCCAAAGATAAGCCCATGTGTTTGCGTACCTTGCGCTGTGCTTTGCGTCGTCGGAAGTCGCCTTTGCGAAAGTCATCAATGTTGGCGGGATGTATGGCCCAGTAATGACCCTTGCCGTTGGCACTTCGTCCAGACTTGATGAAACAGTCATTCAACGACAGATTGTGTCGTATAGAGTTTCGCCATCCCGGCCCACGCGCCCGAAAGTACGGATAATGATCTAAAATGTACTGGTATATGTCGGAGAGAACAAGTTTCGTTTCAGCTGAACTGAGTATTGCCATGGCAATTAGACCAATGTAGCTGTACTGCGGCTTCGGTTCCTCCGGATGAAAAATGCGTTGTGGAAAAAGTGACATAGAGAGTGCCAAGCGGTTGCCGTGCGCTATGGCAGTTGGTGCATAGGAACCGCCGCCACTTCTTACGCTACCCATGCTGTTTGGATAGTTGCTCTCCGTTTCGACTTCTATAGACCCAAAGGTGTGATTGTTCTCACGATTCAACAATAAATGCACACCAGCGCCAGCACCGCTAGCATAAGCCGCGGCGGCCATAGTAGTAGCCGCAGTATATTGTGGACAGCGTAAACGGTCTATGCTTAACGCATAGTTGTAGAGTTGTAAGCGGTACTGTTCCAGTGAATTGGGAGTTGGTATTAAGACTACGTTCTCGCTTCGAACGTCTTGAAAATTCGACGTGTATGATGGTGACATAATGGACGAAGTGGCTGGTAGCGCACTTGGTGTAATTATTTGCCGCAGAGGAGTTGCGTTCGTTGAAACCAGAATTGTCTCTTCAACTGTTGAATTGAATGTAGAGTCGTTCGGTGGCGGTGACATACTTTTTATGGAATTGGAGTCTAAGTACTTAGTTTCAGTAGTATCCATTGTTTTTTTTGATTCGACGCAGCTCAAGCCGTTGAATACGTTTCCGGTGGACGAATTGATGATCTGCATGTTGAAGTATTGTTTGTTATTGCTGGTGTTTCTGCCATCTGCTGCTGTGCTCTGTTGATTGAATGCGATTTGTACGCCCAAGTTAGGGTTTCTTTGGCACATATATGTGAGATTTTTGTTAAGCTGCATAAATCTGTTATTATTGTTATTGTTAATCTGTGATCTGTTCTCGTGAGTGTACGTTTTAGGTCTTTTGGTACTCACTTTATTGAGTTTTAAGTTGGTGTATCTTTCGTTAACGATCGCATTTGCTGTTGTGATGGTATCGGTAACCGTTTTTATATTGTGTAGTACAATCTTCATACGCTGCATTATGTATGATAATGCTGCAAAACAATCGATGGCATAATTTTTCAGTCACTATCGGATTTATTTTTCGTACTATCGATTGTTTATCTACACTTCATACCTCTACTAACGCCATTGTTTCTGGAGCAAAGTAAAAAAGAGGTACGTAAATTGCTTTTGCATTATCGTTTTTGATAAATGTATTTTAAAATAATAAATTTTTCATAAGTGCTGTTCGGGATCTTGTGCATTTGCTCTTGCATTTGCACATTCGGTGCATTTATAAATTCACAACAATAAAAGGCGCATGTTGCCATGGCAGCAATCATAAAATTTGCAATGCAATTCCCACTGCAAATCCAAATCAATTTCGCAACATCCTGAACAGCCCTATATTTTTCAGAAGAAATTTAAATCAGGGTGGTGGCGAACGAATGGAGCGGTTTTTAGAGTTGGCAAAAGCAAAAGGTAGCTTAGATTTTACAATTTGATGTTTATTGCCTTTTCTAACCTGCAAATTTTCAATACCTCTCTAGATTCCGACCAGAACGAAGTCATTAATTTGAGCGACACAGAGGATGAGTCAGAAAACTTGCATCCACAAAAGCCAAAAGGCAAACAAATTCTCATGTTTGGAAATGGTTTCACAATTTTGACGAGTAACATCGATACATCTATGTTTCGATACATCGGAAAAATCAACATTGGTGCTAAAATACATCGGCAGAAAGACATCGATGGTTTCCGATAATTTAAAATTTGTTAGGCCCTAGTGAAATTAAGAGAAATTTAATATTTTTCAATCCCAACCAATGCAGTCTTCTGCAATGCAGTTAGAAAGATACATACATATGGATGCTTTTCAGTATTAATTAACCTTAATAGTCTTCCTATAACTACTTATACGTATGTAGAATAAAAATTCATACTATCGTTAGGTTACTGGGTACCAAATTTACAAGGCCTGACTTCGTTGAAATTCTAAGAGCCCACGTAATGAATATTGGGGTGTGAAATAACACTATCAGCAATAACGAAAAATTTGCTTTATTTCACTTTTAAATGGGAAATAATACCAAAATCTGAGTTTTACTTTATTTCCAACAAAGGTAGGAAATAAAAAAAATTTGCCTTATTTCTCATTGCTTATTTATACTATTTGTAACAAAAACAGTTTACTGACAGAAGGAAAAATAACTTTGTTTATTTCAAAAATACAACTGAAAAAATAATTTTACCTATGAAAAGTCTAACAAAATATAGGGAAAGCGTCGCACAGTGGTTCGGATAGCAGATCTAGCTGGACGAAAGTCAAAATTTTTTGTTTTTAAAATACTTAATGGTACTTGGAATACATTCCTGACAATACATTCAAATAGAAATTGCATTTTTTAAAGCAATAACATATGAAAACAAACAAAAAAAAAAGGTAAGTTAACGCCACCTATTTGAGAACTCTACTTTAAAAGCTGAAATTTAACTTAAAAGACTGCTAATTGCACTCACAAATATTTGCATAATTGCAAATTTACTTTATAAACAAAAAATTACACTTATTCCGCTATAGATTCAGGGGTCACAACGCAATTTATGTTCACATTGGTATAAGCAAATTTATTCTGAAAAAATCGTCGTTTTGATTAATTAAAAAAATTAATTAAAGAGTAGGAAAAGTAAAGGCCGCCGAAGGCCGTTATAAAACCACTTGCATATTATTCTTTACACCTTCGCAAACGCAGAGGGTAAGTTCGATAACCAAGTCTAACCAATTGGCTTAGATATTTACATTTTAGTGACGGTATGTCAAATCTCAAAATGCAAAAGTAATTATTAACAGGAATGTATCTGAATATAAATATAAGATCAGTGGTGGATCCACGAGGGAGGGGTTGTGTGTTAAAATAGAAAAATACTTGGAGTCATAAAACCTTTGGTTATGCAAGAGTTAAAAAAAAATAGTACCTCGCGAATTTTCTGCTTTCTGAAATTAAAAAATTATACAATAGGCATGCAAATCTTTAAGCGCTGTTATAAAATTGTTTCTGAAATTTATTTGTGTTTCTTGCTGTGATCTTAAATTTTAGTCATGGTAAATAAAATCTTAAGAACTGAGTTGTTTGACATTTGGTGTTGCTGAAACTTCTAAAAGACAACAAGGTGTCCGTGTTTGTGTGATTAGTAAATTGAAAGAAATATCTGATGAAAATGCTCGTTCCAAAGTAAATAAAGTAAACTAAGTAAATGACTTTAGATTCGTAATCAGCAACCCAGAAAATCCCCAGATACCCAGTTACATAGAAATCTACCTTTTTTTTTTTTAATTTTCGTCCGCCATATTGGATCCGCCATTTTGAATTTTTGGTAAATGACTTTAGATATGTAATCAGCGACCCAGAAAACCCCCAGATACCCAGTTTCATAGAAATCTACAGATTTTTTTTTTTAATTTTCGTCCGCCATATTGGATCCGCCATTTCGAATTTTTGATAAGTGACTTCAGATTCGTAATCAGCGACTCAAAAATCCCCTAGGTAAGAAGTGGTGTAAAGATCCATCAACTAGTATTTGTTTAAATAGTTTCGTCCAGCTAGATTTGCGATCCGAACCACTGTGCGTCGTCTTTAATAACTGCTCGGCAAATTGGACATAGCGCTTTTGTATGAATTTTGCTGGAAAACCTTAATATATTTTCATGGAACCATGGCGCAATAAACAAGTGAAGTAATAAAATAGCTTTCTCGCTTTATCTTTTAACATTCGGCAGCCTTATAGTCAAATTTTAAAGGCAATTTTTCATTCAAGGCAAAATCTAAATCTTTCTTCTCGATCTAATTACTTCACCTTGTATGATTCCGCTATGGCATGGAACAAACAAAAGTTGCCGTTCCTGTTCGCAGGATATAACACAGAGAATATTGGTTTGAGTTTTATCTTCAGTTAAAATTAAACACATGTGGTACGAAATAGTGGTGTAAAGATATGTACAATTTTACCTACTCTCAGGTGGGATGAATGGCATAATAAACAAGTGAAGTAAAAAAACAGCTTCCTAGCTTTATTTTGTCACAATTTATAGGCAAACTTTCAAATAAAGCAGTGCCAAAATCTTTCTTCTTACTCTAATATTACTTCACCTGGTATACAGCGAAGTCCGATGATAAACCGAAAAGGGGCTTTACGGTTATTAAAAATATTCTTAATTTTGTTTATAATTAATTAATATTAAAGTGTTTTCGTCTTGTTTACATATTATTCAGAAAAAAAACATAAAATCGGAAAAATCTTAAAGTGAATAAAAAAAATATTTTTTATCATATTTAAAATACGTTCCTTTTAGGTTTGGAACCACTTTGCGCCCGCTCTATGGAATTCTTTACCAGATCCAGCAAATTATCTATTAAAGACATCTGAAAAGTTCTAAATTTAGACAAAGTATTCATTATTGTTTACCTCTAAATGCATTTGAAACTGCCATAACGTCTACAGCTTTTTTTCGGTGTACCTTTTCAGGAATATCCGGCAACGACGATCAGTTTCATCTTGATTGAAAATTTCTTTTTCAATTCACAGACTAGATAAAAGAAAAAACAAGGTAAATAAAAAAACACGTTGACTCCCTTATCACTCCATATTCGGAGCGCTCCGAAAACACTCATTCGAGTCCCTTTTCACTCCATATTCGGAGTGCTCCGAAAACACCATTTCAAGGTGTTGCTGTGGACCAGGCGCATCAAAACAAGGTGGTGTTGATTGAACAGCTGATTGGATATTTGTGTCTCTACACTAGTGCAGGAGAATGTCATCCAAGACGAAATGGCATAACTTTAGGATGTCAACAAAACGAATTGGCGAAAATTATTTCCTATTTTCTTTCGTTTTCACATCCTGATGTACCAAAAAGCAATAACAAAATACACGGGATTTTTACTTATATGCAATTGCCACCACCTTATATGGATGCGCCTTGCTCTGGGCGTCCTTTTCAGTCCACATTCAAGCGCTCCGCAGTTGCGCCTCATTATTTAACAATAATTTTTTTGAGAGGTGTTTAGTGCTCTTGACGCACTGCTGCCCTTACCATAACTTTGTGTCTTCATAATTAGGGAATCTTTAAAGACCACCTGCAGACTAAAAATAAACGGATGTTGGTATAACACTGAGTGGGGCGAGGCGGAAATTGCTGGCGGCACTTGTGTGTTTTCAATGCTACAGGATACCTTCGTTGAAGAGATTCTATAACGTTGAGTTCCCTGAAATTATGTTGGTAAACATAACGAGCTCTGGGTGCCAGGTCACCTGGGAGTACCTGGTTATGAGACATCCGACCATTAGGCCATAGTTGGCTTAGACCGGGCATTCCTCGATACGCAACCAGGTATAGCACTCCCCACTTCGGCCATCGAAGCCACAATCAGAAACTGGGTGAATATTTCGCTCAGCAATGACTGGAGGCATCGAGGGAATGCGGGTGGGTAAAACTCATGTTGTCTTCAATCTCAGAAGTTCTATTTAGTTTTTTGCTCTCATTGAGCAGATAGGACTGCAGACAACTTCTAGAACTGATGACTGAGATAAACATAATTGTAATTTACGTTTGCCCATTCTGCCTTGAAGAGGATGAGACGGTGGAACACTTTTTGTGCTTCTTGTTTGCTTGGTTGTTTGTCATCGATTTTTATAGATTCGGAATTTTCTCTATTGTCTGTTTCTGAATTTAAAGTTTGGCGTTAAAAGCTTTGTTGTGTTGTAATTTACGTTTGCCCATCCTGCCTTGAAGAGGATGAGACGGTGGAACACTTTTTGTGCTTCTTGTTTGCTTGGTTGTTTGTCATCGATTTTTATAGATTCGGAATTTTCTCTATTGTCTAAAAAGCTTTGCGGTTTTGCTGTTTCAAGTTTTGTGTTAAAAAAATGTGTGAAAAATATTTTTCGCATCACTTTAAAATTCGGAGCGATAAAAATTAAATCTATTTTACAAATACGCCACATGCAAATTCATGAGCGATCCGAACATATGAGGAGTTTATGGTGAAGACAATGTAAATAACGCTGCGCTCGGAGTGCTCTTAAAGATATTACTCTTCAGAGCGAGAGAGTACTTTGATGGCTTTACGAGCTCTGTTTTTTAAAACTTGCAACCG